ACCGGGGACTTATCAGCCAACCTGTTAAATGCGGCGAGTGGGGCACTCGAGCACTTTAACCGCGTCCCTGAAGTGTGTTCACTACCCGGGCTTTCACAAGCTTTCGCGCAGGGAATCCTTTGGGCTGAGAGGCAAACGTAGGGCAGCCGGGATTCGGGACTCCGGATTGGATAGCTACCGCTGTCAGAAGTCAAAAGCTGGCAAGGAGCAGCAGCCAACAGCCAGCAGCCACCGCAAGTTGCCTGTCGACGGACAAACTTATGGCTAAGACCGCAAACAAATTTCGGGCTGATGCAATGTGGCTAAAGTTGTACCGGTTAACTATCCTAAGGTGGATTTTTCAAATGGAAAAAAAGGAAAACTAAATGGCAAAGGAATTTAAATTTTAACAACATAGCCCAATTTTAAAAGTATAATATTTCTTAAATAGAAGATGAAAGTTCTTTTTGTTAAAAAATGTTTAGAAAGATTTCATTTATTCCGGCATTCAAAAAGTAAGCAGCAAAAAAATTGGGGCTGCAACTAAATTCTTAATATGTCACTCTTTTAATTTTATCATATATATATAAATTCTGTTTCTATTATTTCAGTAAAAAGTTTTTCAATGAATATCACTCTTTTCCAATTAATATTTTAATGTTCGATTAATATTATTTATTCAATATTAAATTTTAAGATCCTAGTCATAACAATTTAATATTCATTTTTTCTGCATGACCAAAGTTCTTTGTAAACTATTTTTACTGTAGCCATATTTGGAGCTGCAACGAATTAGATGTGGAAGAAAATTGTCTTCCTGTATGAATTTCATAATTTCCCCAAGTTTTAGTTAGGAAAGGCAAGCAATTTCCTCCTCGTCTGCTCTTTGGCTGGGTCTAGGTGAGTTTGTGCAAGGGTTTAGGAGGATAAACCCTTCCCTCCCCCTTCCGATTTGGCTTTAACTTTAAAGTCCCAACTTTGCCGGCGAATTGGTTGGCTGGTTTCGGCGCTGTCTTTTGGTTTTGGCCATGTCAGTGGCTGCGGACGATGTGGCTGGGGAAAACTCATATGTGTGTATGCGGCCAACTCGGATTGGTTTTTCAATTTCTTCGACTGTTTGCTGATGTCATCGACAGAAGTCCGGGGGAATTTCTCCGGCCTGGCCTTTGTTATTTATATTCCTCGGGCTGCTGACCCACTCAACGTGGAGGGCTGTGTAGTGGAGGAGGGGGTGGGGCAAAGGACAACCCTTTGTCACATTCTGCAATTTATGTTATTGTGTACACACCCCGAGATGTATCTCTATCTTGGGCTGGCATCTCTCTGTTTATGTTCTGTGATTTCTATCAACAACTTTTACTTTTGTAAGCAAATACGGGGCGCATCTCAACCAGAAAGCAATAAAAATTGTTTACAAACATTATTTGCGTATATCCTTGATCCGGAAGCACCTTCCATGTCCGCAACTTTTCACCATTTAAGTAGATTTCTCTCTCTTATTTTTAAGCACACAGCATAACATGCAATCGCCTTGTCACTCGCACTGTCCCATTTCCAAGGATCTTCCCGTTCTCCTTATCTCTAGTTTAGGTTTCGGGCATTAAAGCTTCTCGCACACTCTAATAAACTAATGTTCCTCCTTTGGGGACAACTCCTTTCGCCTTTCTCCATTCCCTCGACGGTCCCAAATCCATTGTTGGGCCATAGTTTGCTTTGCGAAACATTTTATTTGTCGTTTCTGCCCGGCTCCTTTTCACTCGGATTACTCGAAAATGTTTGCGTCAGATTTTGGGGACTCGGAATGATGACGGGGGTCTTGGGGGATAAAGGGGTGAAAAGGGCGCCCAGGTGTTGGGTTCCCCTAACTTTTCCGAGCATTTTTCCTGCCACTTTCCTTTGGTAAATCGCCTGAAATTACTTGATTGAACAGGGAATATAGTAATGGTGCCAATGGTGACCATAACTCAAGGTGCTTGGGTTGGGTTAGCTGTTGGTTAAACATTTAATTAATAGTTTTTTTTTCGGGGTTACATTCCTTATTAATCTAAAGTTAATTATGTTTAATAGCTTAATTTATTGAGATTGTTAATTAGAGGTCAGAGGTAGAGGAATTATTTCTTTGTTAGATAAGCATATCAAATTGAGATGCCGCTTATCAAGTCAAATTAACACCAAATTTTATTTATAATTAATCTGTATTTATCTTTTTAATTAAAGGCCTTTTTTCAAGGGGTGACACTTGGCACTTTAATCTTTTTCCAGGTTAGATCTAAAGTTGGGTAATAAAGACCTTTTAGAGGGCAGCACTTCCGTTCACCCCCTTCCCGATTTCCATCTCGACGGCTGGAAAAGAACTCCATTTAGGGCGCATAAAGCTGGGGCAACATGTGTGCCTGGCAAGCCGGGGAAATTCCTTATGCCAGGCAAAGTGAAACTGTCACTGCCAAGGTTTTCCCCGGCGCTCTTTTTTCTACTCAGCTGCTTTTCTTATTTTCCCTTCCTATTTTTTTTTTTGGCTGAGATGTAAAGGGCGGCGGGGCAGGAACCCTGGGTTGCATATTTAAATTTATGATTATGTCGTTATGCTGTCTGCCCGCATTGCTTAGGCGGCCGAAGAAAAAGTGACAGCGGGCCAAACTTAATACGAATTTATGTGCAACATATTTTTGCACTTTTTTGTTGTCCGCTCTCGGTAGTAAGTGAGTGAAGTGAGGAGCCACCTCATAAAGAAGCCCAACTGAGTGGTCAACATATGCTGCTTTGCTTCTGCTGGACAAATATGAGAGTTGATGAGGGGATGGCTATTACGCCGCACACTCCAAAGACTTTCAGTTTGCTTAACGTCTCGCCATTAAAAAGGAGCACATTAAAATTCCTTTTCGCTACCCGGCAGCATTTAAATTGCATTTCTGCTCGGGGAAATGACAAATTCGTACATAATAAGAAAAGTCCGGGAGGGCGAAGAGAAATGGCATCCATTTGGCATTTGGCAGGTGGGAGAATCTCGGAGCTGGGAACCTGAGATAGCGTGAAATTGAGCCAAAGCTCCGCGTCTAACTCATTTTTAAATACAAATTTATGTACACGGAAATAAAAGCCAGGCAGCGAGCGGTGCGTTGGCTTTTTGATTAATTTGTCTTGCCAAATGGCTGGTCATAAATTTCGAGATAATAAAACGAGGTTTGCCTTGTTCTAATAACGAAAATTTGTCACACGCCATTCTGACAGTTGTGTGTCACAGCCACGAGGTCCTGATCCTCCACCATCCACAACCACATTTACATCCACCGCAAAACTGTCAACTGGCAAGTGCCGCTGATGACATTGTGGCCAACTTTTGCCTGGGAAATTATGCCCGAACTTTTCCCCCCCGCCCCTTCCGCTTCCCCTTATTGATGGAAGGCTTGGGAAAAGTGGTAGGGTTAATCAATGGCCAGGCCACACGCACCGAACAGCTTGAAATTCGATTAGGGGCGATGTCGGCAAGGCACTCGCCTCAAGTGTCACTTGCAATTATCCAGGGGTGTGGGGCTAGGACTAGCAGGGGGCTAAAGTGCATTCAAATTGGCTTAAACTAAGAACGTTAAGCGTGCAGCTGTCTAATTGTATTTGCCACCTTCTCTGGGCCAACCCTTTTTCGCCTGCAAGTAATGTAAAAGTGCCAGGGAACTTCAAGATTTATTAGCATCAAGATTAAAGCATTAAAAATTTGCAGACTGTTTTTGCCTCACGCAGACATTAAGGGGGAGGAGTGTCATGGGGTGAAGGGCTTTTTTTTGGGGGGAGGTGAGTGGGAGGTTTGGGTTTACCGGGGGAAAGTGAGTGCAATTTCGTTCGCTGGTCTACATCATCAATTTAGCATCCTTTCCGCTTCAATTCTCCCTCTCTCTGTTGTTATACCCTGGAAAGAGGGGGGACTTTTATTTCCTTAATAAATATATTTTAGAAATAAATTAGAAAAAAAGGTCAGTCAAAAATAATGTATTTAACCTCAATTTTGAACATTATATTATATCTATTAAAATCATTCTCAACTAATTACTTTTAAAGAGTATCCGAATATTCGATCCCAAAGTTTGACCCTAATTTCTGGTGTTACTCGCGTTGTTGTTGCTGCGGTTTCTGGGCATGCGGATGAAGCTGGTCCTGCTTTTCGCTTTTCTATGGCCGCTGGCTCTTTCCGCAGCAAGAGAACATTAAAAAAAATATCAAGCACAACAACAGTTCGGTTAGCGGCAACAACTACGGCATTTCATTGCGCACTTTGTCGGTCAAAACTTTCGACATTAGCACTTAATTTACTGGCCCAACTTAATGAAGTCTACACTTGGCTAATTTACGCGAAAAGCTCCAGCTACTTAAGACGAACATTCATCGTGACCCATGCTCCATAACCTCCAGTCTTGTTGAAGTTTTTCAATAGCAGTTTTTGGGTTTCACAATACAACTTTGGATTTAAGAAGCAGCTTCCTTGATAAAAATTCCACAAAAAAGAAAAAAAATCATTTAATAAAAAAGGAATTCGACGAGAAAAACAAACTTATTCGTTTTCAATAACATTGTTTATTAAACAAAATTTAATGACTAACGAACATAGTATTGAGATTCCAAAGAAATGATTTCTAAATATAATTTCGCATTTATACATTTGTTATCAGGAGTTTCTTATCCAAAAATAAAGAAATGACTAATATGCTTTATACGCTTTCAAAGGTTCTTAAAATTATACTTATGCGAATTTATAATGACAACCATGTTATATGCTATATCTAAAAATCGTTAAAATATTTTTTTTTACAAATATATCTTACCGTTGAAATTAATATTTTTTGCCAAAAAAAAAACATAATTTTTGTTTATAATTGTAAGGGTATGAACATTTCGGTTTGCATAAATACCCTGCCCATGTGGAATTTTTTTATTATTTACTTTGAAAAAAGTTTCTTGATAAGGGCTCCAAGCTCGGGGAGGTCTCGAGCGTCAAAATCAATCAGTTGTTATTGACTGTTCATACGGTTCCGTTGGGCTGCAGAAAATGTTCCGATCGCTGAGAGCTGAACACGTGCGCATAGCCATCGCGGGCTGTTCCATAATTATTTCCCTCATGATTTTAGGGTTCACCTTTGTGGAGACCCATAAGTGCTGGGAAATAAGTGCTTGGAAACACGTTGGTGTGCTGCAGATCATCGGGGGAATATTCCTATTCGTGGGCTCCTTAAAGGTGAGAAAGGTGTAAAAACTTATAAAGGGAGTAAAAAATAAAATTATGTTTTTATGAGAAGTTATCTATTTAAAATGTATTTTTAAGTGCAAAATATATCGTATTAATTTACTTCTTTTTAAAAAGGAATCTTATTTTTTTCCTTAGAATAATCACTGGCTTTTTTTGCCCTGGCTGGTGGCTGCCTGCATATTTACTTACACCCTCTTGTACAAGTCTGTTCTCTATTTGAACTATTTGGAGGGCCGAATGTTGATGACGGTTCCCCTACTTCAATTAATAGCAGGTATTTTTTGTAATTTCCCCTTTTTTTCGATACTTTATTAAAGGTATTCTTTGAATTTTTAAGTATTCTGGTCCTATTTCGTGTACGATGTCTTCCAGGACTTTCTCCAAATGCAGAGTGAATCGATCAAGAAAATCTCCATAATTGAGTCGGTGCGAACGGAGTATTAGTGAGCGTTTTTTTTATACCCAGTGAAACGCAATTGAGCTGAGTGTAAAGGCAAATAAGTGTGAACATTGCGGTCGGTGTGTGTTTGCTTGGGGGTGTGCTTTTGTAGCCAAAAGTAAAATAAGCGTTAAAATGTCTGCTAACCCAGTGGAAGTCTGGCTCTGGGTCTCTTCTGGGGCTCTTGCGGTATCGTTGCATGCGTATTGCATTACCCAACCACCCAGCCACCCATCCACCCACTCGCACCCCTTTTTACCACCCCCCATTGGCACAAAGTGGCGTATGAATAGATACATGTTTTGTTGCCTGTTTTGTTTGCCACCCCCCTCCCCAAATCCCCGCCCCTGTCTGTCTGTGGACTGGTTGTCGTAATCCAACAAGCAGACAGGTTAAATACACCGCAAGGACAGACTCACACAAACACACACACATAGGGGGGCTGCTGGAAAAAAGTGTGACAAAGATGGTGGGGAAAACTGGCGGGAAATGGAGAAAATTCGGGGAGGCGACTCGAGCCGCGATTCGGTTGGGAAGCAGACGCATCCAAACAAACAATAATCATGCAACAATAGTGAGAGCCGCAAACAAATTGCTTTTCTATGTATATACTGGTGTATGGGGCGATGTCTGCACAAGGGAAAAATAAGATATATAAAATGTTTATAAAAATAAGCTTAAAAAAAGTAAAATTACTTTTAGACAAGTGTATAAAAAAACTTGTGTAATAAAAATCCCTCTATAATTATAAAATCTTACAAAAATGTGTAATAAAAGGAATGAACAATTTTACACTTAAATAGAACTAAGTGTATAATTTTATTAAGATTATTAATAAGTAGTTATTATGTTTTAAGAGCAATATATTTAAGTTAAATTCAAATGATTTGTAAAATCCTATACAGTTATTTATGATTTTAAAAAATTAAGATAATTATAACAGAGTTATAAGAAAGAATATACAATTGCCCTTCCGCATAATCTGCAGTTAAAAATAATAGCTTTTCTTACCACATCATGTAAATATTTTTTTCCAGTGAGTGTGTCATGTTCGGGTTCACTACCAGATTAGTTTCGTTGCGAGTGTGTCTGAGTTTTTTTTATTATTTAGTTGTCTTTTTTTGCAGACGCACCAACCACAGAGAATCAAAAGCCGCATGGGCGTAGCCCGTGACACCTAAAAAAGGGGTGTAGCACTGGCAATTAGAATGGAGAGCGTAAAGTTTGAACTTCCCCCTGGGCTCCCCTGTCGACTTCTTGTCCTCAGATCCTGCATCTTCCCTCCCAGTCTGCAACGGGCTTTTGTTGTCTGCGAAGTTTGCCTTTGACACAGGGTGCCGGTCCCGCCCCCATCCCCTTACGACCCCCCTCCAACGCCGCCCCTTCCACCTGGCATGCCGGCAAAATGGAATCCATTCATTCAAATCTATGTGAGCCTGTGAGCGTTAGTGTCTGTGCAGCTTGTTGAACAAAATTGAAAATTAACTATAAATTCTGTGTGGCAAAACATGCAAACATGTTTGCGGAAATACCTGACAGACTCAGGAACCCAGGGGCTCCAAAGATTAGGGGGGCTGTGTGGTGGCCCATTCGACCAGACGAGGTGTCAAGCGATGCAAACACCTTGGTGACATCGAACCCCTCGGCACAAAGCGATTCATTGTTGCGAAATTTAATGCGAAAAATTCATTAAAAATAAAACACCTCGGTGAAAAGAATGCCCAAACAAACTTTGAATCCACCGAGAGCCCAAATTGAATTGCCCGAAATTTGTGACGTGCGTTTCCTTTTTTTTCGGGGGTACAGTGAAGCCCTTCAAAGGTGCTAAGTACAAGGGGAGGTATACGAAAAAAAGGGAGCGTGTTAACCCTCATGACAAGTTGTGGCTCTAGGGGCTTTTGCAGTCACAAAAAGGGGGATTTTCCATAAATTTTTTAATCGAAATAAAAGTTTCAAACAACAAATAAAATAATTGCAATTGAAAAGGTAGTTATCCAATAACATTTATGAGATTTTCTTACCCTATAAAAAGTGTTAATTTATAAAACTTTGTTAACGACTTAAATTATTTTCCTAAGTGTAGTTAATGTGTCAGGCCAGACATTATTTTATTTTTATTCTTTTCCCGCTTTCGACTAAGTGCTTTGGTGTGAAGAAGTGAGACTACCCGCATACGCCCAAAAAAGAGTGTGCATTTTTGAAAAACAAAACAGAAGGAAATCGAAACCCTGGCGGAAAATCAAGGTAACCCGAGTTATTCCAAACGGCGCACCAGGAACAATCAGCTAGACTTAACTAATAAATTTCCGTGAATTCCGCACGCAGTCAAGTCGAAGCGGAAATCATTTAAGCTGTCAAATCAGCCGGCCAGATGGTCCAAACAAAAGGAGCCAGGGAGCCGGGGATCCAGGTAGGTGGCCCCAACTGAATGGGGAGCTCAAAGAGGAAAGAAAGCGATTAATATTCATTCAGTGTCGCGCGTATATCACTTTTTATTTGCACAGGGTTTGTGGAGAGCTTGCTGTGTGAAGGTGGGTTGGAAAAGGGGGCTCGGGGGGTGGTAGGTAGCCTTGCAGAGGGCGTGGCAGGGGGAGGAATGCTGGAGCAGGCGCCGCCAAGTATGCAACGGAATTCGGCGCACGCAGCGGCAGGTGAGCTCGTGTGGCTGCCTCACTTGTTGTTGTGTTAATGCGAGTGTGTGTGCGGGGGTGTGCGGGTGTGCCAACGCACAATTACATACAACAATTTGTGCTTTGTTTCGCCGTGTGTGTATGCGTGTGAGTTGGGAATCCAAATCACCAAAGAGCAATCGTGCAACAGCAACATGGCCAGCAGCCCCAAGATGAAGGTGGATACTATAACTGCACTTGGAGAAAATGTGGGTACTTTTGCTCTAAAAAATGTGATGAAAATAATAAAGGGGAGTTGGACTTCATTTAATGACTTAAGTTTAAAAAGCAAAAAAACTTCTAACCAAATCATAAATAAAAACCATTTTATATTTATTAATTTCTTAAATTGTTTTTTAACGATATAAAATATAAAAATCAAACATTCAAACGATAAAAAATAATAAAATAAAATAAATATTCGATTCTTGGTTGGGGCATTTATTTTATTTTCTTCTTTCTTTGAAAATTAAATTCAGAATTATTAAATCATAAATTTACAAAATATTATAAAAATCTTTAAGCCCTTGTCTACATGGGTTACTTAATTTGTATTCCACAAAAAATCATCTTTTTTTGATAGAGAAATGTGAACAGCAATTTTGCAGTGCCCAGCGAACCCGAGTTGGCCTGCGGAAATCCAGTTGGCTTTGTGCCGCTGACACCTCCCTCCGGAGGCCCCACCCCTCAAACTACCTCCCCCATGGCAGCACTCAAATTGGAAGCCCAAATATCAAGTCGAAACGAGGGGGCTCAAAGGGGTTGGCTAGGGGCGGATGATACCATTGAGGGGCGGCTCTTTCGCAGCTCCGGCGCTTAGTTTTCAATGTGAAAATTGAGAAAAATTGCCAAACGAGTTGGTAAGCGATATTCTCGGCACCGCCTGCCGTTTGGTCCGATGCCAGGTGATGCAGTTGGCCCATTGTTGGCCTTTCCTGGCCTCCCTCTCCTCATATTCCAGCTTATCTACACTCCACTTCACTCCGCTCACTTATTGTTAGTTTCGCTAGCTTTGTTTTGACAACTTCTGGAGGAATGCTCTGGGAACTGAACGCTTCGTCAAATAAAAAGGAGCATTTTTGGCTTCAGTTTACTTCCGTTTGCTTTGACTGCCTGCTATGCCTTCATCTGCTCCTTTTGCCTGCAATAGGAGACCCAAGAAGCTGCTGGCAGCCATAAAATTACGATCCAGCAGAGAGCAAATGACGCGAAACAGTCGCACGGACATGGCCAAGAGCCTCTGAGCCAAAAACATGGGAAAAAGGGGGCTATGGGGGGCAAACGGGGGCAAAGGAATAAAGGGGCAGCAACAACACGTTCCCTGCATAAAAATCGTGCAGGCCATGCTAAAAACGTTTATCCCTTTTAGCCCCAAGTTTGGCTCAGGAGTTCTCCTGCCAACTCCCTCAGAACAATGGCGGAGAAACACTGGGAGAAATCCCGATTTATGGAAAATCAGCACTTCCGATTGGTAAACTAATATTTTTAAAAATAATAAAAGTCAATTTAAATTAATATTATTTTGTAACTATATGACTTGTTTTTTTTGTAATTTTTAAACCTATGATTATAAAGTAAATGTATGATATTTAAATTAACATCTAAACAAATAAGATTGATTCTTAGCTTTTTAATATATTATAGAAGGATCTTTACTTTCCCGACCTCTCTCAATTTTAATTTACATTGAAAATATTCATGACTTTTCGGATCCCACAAACTTTTGCAGTGCACTGAAAGAACAATTTCTTCGTCTTTAGTTTCAATGGCCCCCTCGGCGGCCCAAAACCATTTTAAATGGAACGTAAGCCGGGAGACTGATGGCCGGCCGTGGGAAACGAGGAGTGGGGGTGGTGGGCAGATAAATGCCGCATCATTGGTTATTTATATGCGTGCGGATCTCAGGTGGATGGCCCCGGCATCAAACGATATATTTATTTGATTTTATTGATATACAAGCGGTCGTAAGTAGTGCACATCCATCTCGGCCAACGAGTGGCTTAAGTCCTGTCATTACTGAGCCCAGTGCCAGGTGAAGGTCGGCATGGGAAATTAATTAAATCGCATTCAAATGATTGGCTACGTGCCATTATTAATTCGAGCATAAATTATTCCACATGGCCTAATTCCAAGCGATTTTCCTCCCCTGCCGCGCAATCTGTGGTCAATCACTTGATTGGCTGCCCACCGAATGGATCTGAAATTTTAATGCAACACGTATTGGCACTTCTAATTTATGGCAATTAAGTGAAAGTTCTATAAATGACAAAGAAGGTGTTCGAGAAATCCATAAGCTCACCACATTTATTATTAGCCTGGACTAATTAAGACAGAAACGAGTTTTACCTTGCAAAGGTGGCATTTCAAAAGATTGCAATTTGATCAAATAAAAGTGGCTTACATGAAAATCATTTTAATGCCGGCTGCTGGGAAGAAAAGGCATTTATCCTCATTTATAAATGACTTTGGTGCAAAAGTGCATGGTAAGTGTCTTTGTGACAAGTAAAACTAACTATAGATAATTTGGATCATAGTTGAGGAAATCTTCATTTTAAGTGAATATTTTCAATTATGAATCCACATCACGATTATATGCAAAGAAAATTTCGAAAACATACGTTTCTACGTTTTTATGTTAATTTATGGGGAATTTAATAACGAGGTAAACGGGTCTTGGCATTTCATATTTGCGCCATTTTTCCGAGTTTTGTGACTTTTTTCGTTCATAGCAACAGAAGAGTAACAATATTT